TCTTTCGCCTTCAACTCGTGCAAGCCAGGAAATTACATTTTTGCGCGCGCTTACGTTCCAACGAACAGATTTAGGGAGCGCTTTCAACGGGCGTACGATTTAAATGACTCTCTTTGATTAAACGCCATTTTTATTAAATATATTTCATCGTATAAATAATCAACAATTTTTTACAATAACATTACATAAACGCTTATTTACACTAGCTTTATCCCGCGATTTCTCTTGGAATTGAAAAACAAAACAAAATGAAGTATCTTATGTGTTCTTCCAAACTATCTTCTACGTCTATGTCAAATTTCAACGAGATCCGTTAAGCAGTTTAGGCTACAAAGTATAGTTCTTCTTCCTTACCTCCTACCTTTGACCTTGTCTTGGTCGAGCAATCGCATCTCGGCCCATTCACTCCACTGATTGCCACTTGAATAGACTAGTCTACGTTATCTACGTCTTCATCCACTTGCCCTTACCCCTTACGGAATGTGCTGCTCTTCCATACATCTCTATCAGCCGTCATATATGAATCCACTCTTTTCTTAAGCATATCCTCTTTCACACGATTCTTCCATATTTTCTTCGGTCTTCCTTTTCCTTTGTTGCTATCCACATTCATTCATAACACTTTCAGGTTTATGTCCCCATCGTCTCGTCGCATAACACGTCCATACCACGCTAACCTATTGCTTCTCAATTTCTCCACCACTGGCGCTACTTTCAAACTTCCTCTAATGTACAGATACTTAACGTTACCTACGTAAGTAATTTAAAAAGTAGCTTAGTTTAACAGAGCACTTCAACTTTAATTCAAGCTAAATGCAAGACCTAAGAATAACTTTCCAACAATAAATAACCAATTTAATAGGGGAAAGGACAACGAAATACATGATTCCTTAATTATATAATATCATTAACTTCCTCAGAGATGAAAACGTTGTCAATAAATCCAAAAACATTGTAAAAAATAAATTAAGAAATCATTTCTTACAAAATTAAAATTGATGTAAATATATAAGAATAAGTACAAGATACATCAAGGTATATTTGTAAGAAATGGGTGTTGGTCATCAACAAACCGCTGTGCAGTTTGGCGACATTTTTATTTGTGAATTTTTTATATTTTTTTCCGTATGTAAATAAACAAATAAATTTCCGTTTTATAACACTACTGAATATGGAGTCGTTAGTCTTCTTAACTTTATCACGTTGATTACGTATCCACAAATAAATATCGATCACTCTTAACTGAACGAAACTTAATCATCTAATTGAGAAGATCACGGATATCCGGAACAATGGAAAGCTTTTAACGAATTAGTGACTTTTTACAACGAATACTCTCAATGAATGAAAGATATTTACTGTAATTACTTGTGTGCTTCGTCTCTTTATTAGCCAAATAATTGAAAAAAAATAGACGCATACTGTTACTAGCTGTTGCTCACGACTTTGTTTACGTGAAATATAACCTATGTTACTCACCGATAACGGACTTTCTTATGATGAAAGAATTTTTAAAATCGGCTCAGTAGTTTTTGAGTTATTTAATTATGTACAAAAATACAAATCTTTATAATGTTAGTATAGATTACGTCTAAACAAGCACATGACTTAAAATAGAACATTAAAAGCAGGCACACCCCTGAAATTGCACTATCGCATAACAGTTTAGTCTCGCTTTGATTCTTACGAGCTTATATGGAGGTGGGCACACTAATCGATTTTTAATTATGCAACTAAACAGTTGAATTGACTGCGAAACAATCGACAGTTAACAATCGCACAACAGCTGTGCGATAGCTAGTCAAAGGTCTGCGCACGATCTGAAAATTTTTGAATTTATGAAAACAATGATAAAAAATTAATTCTAACTTTTTTTTATATAACTAATATAAGGCGGTAATCCACCGAAATGGAAAGCGACCGCTGCTCACAAACATCCGCAATTGCAGATGCGTTGCCTACCCTTAATTGACGGAGGAAGAGACGCACATAAAGAGGACATTTCCCCTTCCTATGCGTCTCCTCCACCGTCAAATCCACTTTTCCTTCCCATTCCTTCATCTCAAGAAAAGGGTGGAAAGGAAAAAGGTCTAAAATTAGGCCTCCGGGACCACACTCATCAGACGAAACGCGGAATTGCTCCCACTTCACGCCTATTTTCTGTGTGGTCGTGGTATTACACCGGGCGAGCCGGCCCATTCGTGCGAAGATGTTAAAGCGGGCTCTACCACTGTTGTAGTGTTGTTACAATTTTATTAATATTAATTTGTAAAAATAGCGATACAGTGAAAATTAATACAAGGTGTATATTTCATGATTTACACCGCTTGCAACGCACAATAAAACATCAATCTCTCCATTTCCTCCAAAAAGGTTGGAGCGATGCGTGTCGATTGACCGGAAATAGTAGCGGCGTGTATTTACAACTTCCGCCGCCGAGCTTGGCGGGAAACCAATTAATAACTTTTATGGCTTCCGGTGTTGGCATCTCGCTCAATTAGTACGGCCGTAAAAATCTTCACGGCTGATTGGAAACGCCAATGGCCAGTGTTATGTGTCGTATTGCAAAATAATTACAACCTTAAAATTAATAGAAATTTTATATTTTTCATTGCAATTTACCTAATAAGATTTATCTGGTTATCATCTGTAAAATACTGCGGTTAGAATCTCCCGGTGTTACACTCTAAGCATAATTTTCTACCTCATTTTTTATAGATTCACACATTTCCTGTTAGTAATACTATGGTAATATAAGACCGGTAGCGCCATCTATCTCACCGATAAGAGAATCAGAGATACTCGCATTCATAATACAAGCGAGTATCTCAGATTTCTACACTATATTGTAGTAGGTACTCGTATAGTCTCCCATTTATATTACTTCTTACTTAATATTATAAATGCGAAAGTTTAGATGTATGGATGTATGTTTGTAGATTTTGTAGCCTAAACGTCTGAACGAATATCGATTAAATTTGGCATAGACTTAGAGGGGAGTCTGGAAGAACACATAAGCTTTTCGCTTTTATTTTTTTTTAATTACACGCGGACGGAGTGTGTATTTTGGCACTATTCTATAATCGTTAACATATGTACCGGTCCAGATATATGCGTTTTTATGTTAGGGTTGATTAGTCCTAGTCAACCGCGATTATGTCCGAATTTTTTGATACTTGTTATTAACTGTGTGGTTATCATACTGTTCTTTTGTTTTTTAATTGCACGCGAGTGTACATGAGTGGTGCGGTTAAGGCTTGACTGCCGGTAATTGAATGAGAACGGCGCAGCGGGACAGGCGCGTCGTTTGCGGGCCCGCAAATCTACTTAGAGGGCTCTTATTGACTATCGCAGTGTACTTGGAGCTACGAAACGTTTGATTTATTCCTTTACTGTTTTTTTTTATTTCAACACTCTTGACTACATCTTTGTGTCTAAGCTGACAGAGATTTGAATTAACTCTACATACACCTACTTGCTAATCTTCCTCGAAACCTCTATCATATTACTTTTTTCAATTTCAAGGAAAATAATAGTTTGCTTTGTTTCATTATTTAGACACTCGCTGTTCCCGTGCGGCTACATGCGAATATTATAAAAACTTAATTTATTTATTCCGAAAAACTTTCATTTGCAAATGTTAAAATTTAAACACTCAAAGGACAACAAAGTCTCAGTATTTAAAAATTACCGATGTGGCAATCTTTACTGTTATTGGCTTGGAGTCTTTGTCTCTTTCTCGGATCAAAATGTTTTCAAATCTTATCCCCACTAAATTAAATAGCGTGATAACATAGTCATTACATTTCATAATATTAATCTATATAAAGATTATTATTGAACTATAAATAATGTATTGAACTTGTTAATATTTAAAAATTCTGTTTACCATTCTTACACCATTGAATATCGCTTATGCGCTCCGGGGCCAGTAATGACATTGCGGAGCGATACCCCCCTCCCTTGTATCCCCACCCCAAGATACTTTTATCGAAAAATTCTACTGACATAACACAAGTAAGTGCCTCTTCGTCAAAATCGATAAACATAAAATTATTCATCCGCCAAGATAAAAATTAATATTATAAATGCGAAAGTTTAGATGGATGGAGGTTTGTTACAATTTGTAGCCTTAACTGAACGGATGTCAATGAAATGGCATAGATGTAGAGGATAGTCTGGAACACATAGGCTGTAACACATAGGCTGTTTATTCCGCGAGGGCAGAGTCGCGGGCGTAAGCTAGTGTCTTAATAGATGTTTAAAAAGTATCGAATAGCGTAACAATAAATAAGCACAGTATTCTCTTGAATGAAAGCACATGTCATAAATATTACATATTTTTTTTATTAATTTTGCGCCGACAAAATCGCAGGACATGAACACAACCGTAAAAATTCCACAGCCGTGTTACTTTATAAAATATTTTTGTCCCTATTTTCCAAAGAGAATAAAAGAGAGAAGCAATTTGTTTTCATACAAGTATTACAACAATGGAAACCAAAATTCGGCTCACGTATATTAGATACCGCCACCACGAAGCCACAGCAAACTTTTCTAATTAACTTTATCCAACTTTTTTCGTTAACGCCCCAACGAGCGGAGTGGCTTTTGTTGTAGTTTTAATGTTGTCTTTACTTACTCCAGTTCTCTTAGAAAACTTGTTTCCTGTTTCCGATAACTCATTTACTTTGATACGGTTACGAGTTTGTCTATTTAATGTTCTTTTGGAGCGAAGTGTACACTCAGAATCATAAACTAGTTTACACTAGCAAACTTTGTCATCGTGTAATTAACAAAAAAGTCGTCTATAATATTCCTACAAGTATCAGCAACGTTCATGTCAAAATCCCGATAAAACCCGATAAAACTTGGGGTTTAAAAAAAGAAAAAATGCAACAATTCAATGTAACAGCAACCCTCCATAGAACTAACCTGTATAACAGTATCATCATCCCTCTCATTCTCTTAGCAAAAAAAGGGACAATAATACACACAACACAGGTGCGACAGTGTAATTACGGAGTTTAAAAGCATTTCTACGGAGTTTTACATCGTATTCTGTAATAGGGGTTCCACCAGAATCTAAAGTCATCGTGTACCGTTCTTGTCCCCATCATAGTTTTGTTATTAAGCGCGGCACACATTACGCACACGTTGTCCACAAACAGCAGATCCGAGTACGTGTAATAATATTTCCACCAGAAATACTGAACGTACTGCTCCGGAGAAGTCATCAACTTCGCGATAGTAGCAGCCAATTCTCGAGGTCTCATACGTAAAGCATCCAAGTACGTGTGCGGAGGTACAAACCTACAAGGATAAAATGTATGTATGTATTTATTTATAATTTGTTACGTATAATCATTGCCCACTAATAACGAGTTTTTTTTAAACTGTTAATAAGTTACCCAATTGAAATTAGATTTTTCATGAAAACATTCTTTATACAATTCTATATTTAATATGTAACGTTATAGTATAGTGTAAGTAATTACTCCGTCCGCGTACATTAAAAAATAAAGTATTTAGCCTATGTGTTCTTCTACACTATCCTCTACATCTATGCCGAATTTCATCGAGATCCGTTCAGCCGTTTAGGCTACAAACTCTAACAAACATCCATCTAAACTAATCGCCGGAATTCAGGGATTATTTCCAACCGTCACCCCGATCTGTCCCCACATGAGAATAAAAAGTTTCACCTTTTAGTCCCACAATCACTAATAAGGTGACAGAAGAAACCGTTATGAAATAAAATCAGTTCCAACCGTCCCCTCATCGCAAAGGGTGGGTCGGATGAAACTTTTTCTCATCTGACCTTACGTGGGGACGGTTGGGAATAATCCGAATTCTGACAGATATTTCATACGTATCAGATTTATAAATTAGAACAAATGTTAACCTTGAATAATCTGCTCCACCGTACACTATAGGTATCATGTTATGATTCAGAGCAGTTACAAGTTTTTCAGTCACATAATCTATTGCGAAAGTATTCTCTAGAGACAAATAAAAGTAATATTTTTCCCCTAACATGTTAAGGCAGCTTTTCATACGTTTTTTAGGACATTTGTAAGTACCACAATCTCCATAAATATCTAAGGATAATCCATACGGTCGTAAATGCTTTTGCAGGTTGTTAGCAATTAAACCTCTTCCACTTCTGTCTTCACAATTAGACACAAGCCATGCAACTGCTTTACTCTTATTTTGTATTATAGAAAAATCATTTTCAACTGACATATTTTTAACCCATGTCATATTAGTCTTTGGCCCTACAATTTCTCCTTTGCGATTTCTTATCTCTATATATGAGAACAAAAGATCGGAATTCAATTTATATGTCGCTGTCCAGTTGAAAAACCCATCAAATACATCGTTGCAAACTGGATAATAATCAGGCGATTCTATGCTGAAATAAATGTATTTCTGATGAGGGGAGCGTTTTTTTGGAAGTTCATCTGATAGAGTATGTATACGTGGGCCATTAAATACTATAGCGTCAAATTTTGTTAGATCTCCACCGAAGAAAGACTTGTCGTAGGTGAAGTAACAATTGAACACCGAACAGTTTTTGAATATAAACGCACGTTGACCATCACGTATTGTATTGAATGGGTGGTTAAATTTGCAGTCCGTCCACAGTAAAATGAATTTAAGATCCTTCGGCAAACTGTACTTTGTTTTGTACACCTCGACATATCTAAAATCTTCTTCAACATCTACGATGGCCTCTCTTACAAGATTCTGAACTTTTGATTTGTATATATAACTTGACAATTGATTGACGCGTATGAAGATAATAAAAGTAATTGTGACTATAAGTAAACAAGCTTTGAACGCGTTTATCTTTTTTAAAATCATGATGCAGCCAAATCGCCGTAGCTTAAACAAGGACAAGGTGTTTTTGACTGATTTACTTTTACACATTCTGTTAGTACCTGCAAGTAATAGATTATTAAATCCTGTGCTACAATGTTTTACTACGATATATACGAGTATAAGAAAACGGAAAGCACATGCTGGGATGAACTGATAAAGGGAGCACAGACAACAATGAATGATGGCCAATATATGCTTCTGCAGTTCGCCTAAAAGTGAAGTCCAAGCCATTGCCTGGAGCAAAGTCATGTCTTTTCCGTTTTCTGTTGCTGCACGCACTATTAATTGATTCCATAAATGTCTTATATTACATGCCAAATTCTTCATATCGTTGTGTCGAGTTCTCTTCGTTTTGAATTTTGATACATCGCTGTTATTCATGTTTGTTTAATGTTTTGTTTTAACTCACATTAATTTAACAAACAGAATTATTAAATTTAATTAAATTGAAGGCAGACTTATTATCGTTGTATGTTGTCTAATGTCATTATAAATAAAAATATTCTTTTGGATTTGTCAGTTGACGTCAATATCAGAAAACGAAAAAGAAAGCTTAAAATATTAAAACTCCTTAGTTTAAATAATATCTGATCTGTTTAAATGGATAGGTCTCTAAGTATACACTTATCAACAGACGTTGATGGTAATGGATAGTTAATTATATCTCTATTATTAGTTCGAATCCGCACTACCGCGACCAACCACAAGGAAATAAGGCAAACTAAGGCAACAGGATATAACACATGCCAAAATAAGGAAACAGGAACCACAAAGTTAAATAAAAAAACGCTACCCTGAAATGCTTGTGCATTAATTTTTATTTTGGAAGAAACCATTTAATGATCCCTTATTCTTTAAGCATAAACAATAGAATTATAAAACAGGTGCTATGACAGTCTAAATTCATGGATACCTACAACATTTACGGAGATCTACATCGTATTCTATAACTAGGGTTCCACCAGATTCTAAATTCATCGTATACTGTTCTAGTCTCCATCATAGTTTTATTATTAAGTGCAGCACACACTGCGCACACGCTGTCCACAGTTAGCGGGTCTGAATACGTGTACTGAGATTTCCACCAGAAATACTGAACGTACTGCTCCGGTGAGGTCATCAACTGTACAATGGTGTCAGCCAATTCTCGAGGTCTCATCTGCAAAGCATCCAAATACGTGTTTGGAGGTAAAAACCTGCATAAAAAGAAGAAAATAAGTTACAATCGTTAATCACATCTGGTATTGGTTTTTAATTTTTTATTTCAGCAGAATATCATCGTTTCTAACTTGCAAGAAAATCACACCGTTTAAATTTGTAAATTGACTATTCACAAAAAGTAACAACGCATATGTAACGTTATATGAGTATGTTAATATATAATTTTTAAATAACATGATTATTTTTAGATTTACTGATGTTAAGAGACGTTAGATGACCTATGCATCCAACATAATAGGGTTTTAAGGATGATGTTGAAATTCCCTAGATTATTTTGTGCCTCTAGCATGTTTGATCAGCTGATCACTACTATGCCTTTGGTGATGCTACAACTGCATCCAGAAAACAATAGTAATGATCTGTATGAACCTGTTCTGACGCATCACGTGAGGACTTATTCTGCAGATGCCGCCTAAATAGATATTTCGTTTGTTAATTAATTTGAATAAATATTAACCTTGAATAATCTGCACCACCGTACACAATAGGTATCATGTTATGATTTAAAGCTATAAGAAGTTTTTCAGTCACATAATCTTCTGCGAATGAATTCTCGAAAGATAAATAAAAATAATATTTTCTTCCCAACATGTTGCGGCAGCTATTCATAAGTTCTCTAGGACATTTGTAAGGACCACAATATCCATAAATATCGACGGTTAATCCGTATCGTTGTAAATACTTTTGTAAGTGCGTGGCAACTTCGTGTCTTCCACTTCTATCGTTACTGTTGGACACAAGCCAAGAAACAGCTTTACTCTTATTTAGTACTATGGAAAAATCATTTTCCAATGACACATTTTTCGCCCATTTCATGTTCTTCTTTGGTCCGACAATTGCTCCACTGCGATTTTTAATTTGTAGATACGAGAACAAAATATCAGAATTCAATTTATATGTCGCCGTCCAGTTGAAAAACCCATCAAACATGCTGCTGCAAACTGGATAATTATCAGGCGACTCGATATTGAAATAAATGTATTTCTGATGAGGGGATCGTTTTTTCGGAAGCTTAGATTTTATCAGACTATTTATAAAAACACCGTTAAATGCAATAGCGTCAAATTTTGTAACATCGCCACCGAGGAAGTACTTATCATAAGTGACGTAGCAGTTATTTGTAGAACAGTTGTTTTTGATAAACGCTCTTTGACCCTCACCCAGCTGAATGAATGGGTCGTGCTTTTTACAATACGACCACAGCAAAATGTATTTTAGGTCTTTTGACAAACCATCCTCTGTTGTACGCACGAGATATCTTAAATCTTTATCGTTATCGAAAGCCCCTTTTACAAGGTTTTCAGTGATTGAAATGTAACTATTTCTTGATAATTGAATAAAACATATGAAAGCGATGGGACTAATCGTAATCATAAATAGGAAAACTTTGACGGCAGTCATCTTGTTTAAAGTTGTAATGAATCGAAATGGTAGCTTAATTAAAGATTGTCCATGTAATTCATTTTCTCCGCTTGAACCTGGAAATAAATCTAAGTATCAGTGCTGTCGCCTCATTTCGAACATATAAGAATGAATGAAGGTACACCGGTAGAGGTAGACGTAAAAAGAGATGGATGGATTGCGTGATAGATGACATGATCAAGAAGGAAGTGATGACTAAGATGACAGGAGATATATTTACCTAGAAAACGAAAACCTGCGTTGACCCTACGGGGGTAGGATAAGAACGGGGAGATGATGATCATGTAATTGTAATATTAAAATACTTCATACTAATATTACAAATGCGAAATCGATGGATGAATGAATGTTTGTTTAATATAAATAACAAATATCTCCAAAACGGTTTAACGGATCTTAACGAAATTTGTCACATATGTAGCATATAATCTGGAATAATACATATCATTCGTACCAAGTTTCTTTTTAATTTCACGCGGAGGAATCGCGCGCAAAAGCTAGTGTTATCTAAACTCCTATGTTCAGTCTAAAAGGTGAGTCCCAAACACTATCGTTCCCAGCTATTCTGAACTTACTTGATAGATTAAATAATTGCCTGATGTTATTTACTATTATCCTCATTTTGTTGTTTGTTTTTTCTGTTTTGTATTTTTGCAACGGCGTTGTTTCATGTGATATTTACCCTCGTACAGATATTATAGCAAGCAAGTATTAACATCAAGTTACAATAATAATCAATATCTGTGGTATTCAATAATAAATAAATATAAATTATAAAAAAATGGTCTGAGATGTCAATATGAGGTGACCAAAAATAAATCAATAAAGCTCATACAGAACCTTGTCACGCAGCTGTCATGTATTCTTCTTTTATACTTATTTCTATGACCATGAAGGTTGTACATATTTTCTGTCAGAACTAACCGATGCCAGCGCTTCTCATCGGGCTACACGTACACATCCTTTTTTCACTATACTACCAGTCTTTTAGAGACGCAAAACTTTGACTAAACTATCACATAACAGTTATGCGATTGTCGATTGTTTCGCAGCCCATTCAACTGTTTTTTATAACTAAAAATCGAATAGTGTGCGCACCTTTATATAAGCTCATAGGAATCAAATGAGACTAAACAGTTGTGCGATATTTTAGTTTCAGATGTGGGCACGTTATAAGTAGAATCAAAAAAGTATTACATCCTAACACGAGTGGTTACAACCAGAGTTTTGAAGTCCGCAATAGTGGTTTGTGCAACCGATGGAATACCACACAGAAGAAAGATGGGAAATGAAAATACGAGTATTATTTGTTTCTATTATGAGCCCGTGTAGACCACAGACTTTTTATCTTGCGGTCGGTGGTTCGGTCGGGCGTTTAATTAGTGTAAACATGTATAGAAATGCAAACATAATTCATTTGGTGTGTAATTTTAGCTTAACGTTCTGAAGTCCTTAAAGTCTGTAGTCAGGGGGGCTCCACGGAAGGCGCTAGGGGTTATCTTTTAGTTTTTCTTATTATAATATTCTCTTGTGAAACCTAAATCTATTCGATGAGCTAAAGGTATAATTTAATATAATGAAACGGCATCACTCACTACTCATAACAAATATATTATAACACTTCAATGTTTACATAAAACTCTTGGAACGCTTTCATTTAGAACAATAATTATAGTATCAGCCTAACAGTTCAATTGTTCAAATTGAAACATTGTTTTAAAACATCACATACACTGCTCGTACCTCTTATGTGAACAATAATTATACATCTATAAAGTACAATGGAGAAACATTTTACAATCAAACTTAAGAGTACATATAGCCTAATTTTAGTCCACCCTTTTCTTAAGAGGAAAGGATGAGAAGGAAAAGTGGATTTGACGGTGGAGACGCATAGGAAGGGGAAATATCCTCTTTATGTGCGTCTCCTCTTCCGTCAATTAAGGGTAGGCAACGCATCTGCAATTGCGGATGTTTATGGGCAGCGGTCGCTTTCCATTGCAGTGGATTCGGTGACCGTTTGCTCGTTTGCCACCTTATATTATTTAAAAAAGTTAAATAAGAAATTAGAAGTAGCGTCTCTGATGGAGAAATTGTGAAGGAAAAGGTTATCGTACGTAAGCAAAGATGTTCATATAAACAAGGAAGGAACCTTGAATGTGGGCTAAAAGTGGATGACCGAAGATGAATACGTAAATAAGGATATGCATAAGAAAGTAATTCAGTTGACAGCTGATAGAGATGTGTAGAAGAGTACACTCTATAGGGAAAAGGATGAGTTCATGATGAAACGAACTACTATAGATTTGCAGAAAGTTTTCATTGGAATAAACTAACTTTGGTAACATAACTTTGGTTGTCAATTGTTTAAATTTATATTTAAATAGGCGAGCAACACATCTAATGTCAACAATTGATTTATCCAATTTAACCATCATAAAAGATGTATAAAATCTCTGTAATTCCCCTCCGAGTAATTTTTTAGACTATTCTTCCAATAAACATTCTGAATACATAGAAAAACAAAGTCTTTAATATAATCTTTACATTAAAAAACCCAATATTTTTATTTTAGCACCACTATGGATTTTGGACGGCAGTGGAGAAAATTAAATCTTGTGCAAAAGTACTAAAATAAAAAACTTTATAAATACTTAAAACACAGAATACTCTTGCTTAGCAATAAATAACAATAGTTATATAATGTATAAAACATAACACATGGTTATTTCTATCTTTGGTTTACATTAACATTCGTAGAAAAATCACAAAATCTTATTTTAAAAAATATAGCACGTGGTACAACTTTAAAAAATATACTTCAACACCGATCTCTATAAACTGGGTTCCACCAAGCCCTGAAATTTTTATAAACCATTCGTTTTTCCATCATAGTTTTATTATTAAGTGCTGCACACACTGCGCACACGTTGTCCGTTCTTAACGGATCTACGTACTCGTATTGAGATTTCCATGAGAAATATTTAACGTAGTGCTCTGGTGAAATCATTAATTGCGCTATCGTATCAGCCAACTCTCTCGGTCTCATCTTCAAGATATCCAAATAGGAGTTCGGCGGCAGAAATCTGCAAAAGATGAAAATATAAAATTATCAATTACTAATTGTTTTTAGGAAGTGTTTTTTTTATGTAAGGTGGCAAACGAGCAAGAGCCACCTGAATCCACCGAAATGGAAAGCGACCGCTGCCCATTAACATGTGCAATTGCAAATCCGTTGCCTACCCTTAATTGACGGAGGAGAATATTTTCCCTTCCTATGCGTCTTCTCCACCGTAAAATCCACCTTTCCTTCCCATCCTTTCCTCTTAAGAAAAGGATGGAAAGGGATAGGTAGTAAAATTAGATTTAAAGAAACGTTTAAAAATTAAGGTAATTATTTTATTTACCTTGAATAATTCGCACCACCGTATACTATGGGTATCATGTTATGTTTTAATGCTGTTAAAAGTTTCTCAGTTACATAATCTTCTGCAAAAGAATTCTCTAAAGACAAATAAAAGTAATATTTCCGCCCTAACATAGTGGCACAACTTTCCTTATCATCATCGAGGCATTTATACGAACCACAGTATCCATATATATCTATAGTTAATCCATAATTTTGGAGATACTTTTGTATGTGTGTCACAACATCCCCCCTTTTACTCCTACTATTACAATTAGACACAAGCCAAGCAGCTGCTTTACTTTTATTTTGTACTATTGAAAAATCATTTTTAAATGACAAATTTTTCACCCATTCCATGTTCCTCTTCGGTCCAACAATTTCTCCACTTCGATTTCTTATTTGTACATATGTGAACAAAATATCAGAATTCAATTTATACGTCGCTGTCCAGTTGAAAAACCCATCAAACATATCACTGCAAACTGGATAATAGTCAGACGACTCTGTGTTGAAATAAATATATTTCTGATGCGGTGATCGTTTCTTTGGTATGTGATATTTTGATAAAGTTTTGAAATTCCGACCGTTGAAAGCAATGGCATCAAATTTTGTTACATCACCATCGAAGAAGTACTTGTCATCCGTAACATAACAGTTGATTATGGAACAATTATTTTTAATAAACGCACGTTGTCCTTCACCAAAGTTATAGAACGGTGCAAAATCTTTTGGTGTCCATAATAATATAAATTTAAGACCTTTGGGGAGACGATCCTTCTTTCTAAATACGTCCACGTATCTTAAATCTTTAGCAACATTGTCGAGCGCCTCTTGTATAGAATGTTCATTAATCGATACATAATCTTTGCTTGTTGATTGAATAAAACATATAGAGATGATAAAACTTATCGAGATTATTAAAAGGAAGACTTTGATGGTAGTTGTCTGGATCAAAATAGATGAGAAACGAAATCGTAGCGGAATAAATAAAGACATATCTGCAATGACATGTCCAAACATTTTAAATACTCAAATATTTTTACGTGCATTGGACAACCAAACCTGATGCTAGTTATATCTGTAAATAAAGAAAAATACTGGAAAAAGATATAAAATCACAATATATTAATAATCTTAAATAAATACGAAGGGATACAAAGATTAAAAATGTAATTCGGATATCTAAAATTCAATAGTTTAATCAAGTTACAATATAACGTACAAAAATAGTTTCGTATCTGAATAAACATAATTACTCTTGAAAATTATATCAAAATTACGAAGTTTCGGTGACGTTATTGCTGTGAACAGCGATAACGTGACCGAAACTACAAGTACCTTACTATATTTGTATATATGAATTAAGGAAAAGATAATTAAATATTCTAAAAATAACAAAACACCAAATTATTCGAAAACATTTTTGTTGCTGTTGTTGCTATCTTTTTCGCAGGTTTTATATAATTGCATTTTTTCCTAATTCTTTTCTTGTATTATAACGTTAATTGGAAAGAGTTAATTAAAACAATGGAAGTTTAATGCAATAAAATATGTTGTTTAATCACTTTTGTTTTTTAACCGCTTTGGAAATATTTTTGTAAAAAAACAAAATAAAACATTATGGTACCTACATGTTTATTTCTGTCTAAATAATTTAAAAACGGAATTGTAGAAAAATATACACACCTGCCGTATACTTCGTGTCACTTTATAATCCAAACAAAAACAATGGCCGTTGCGTAAATTGTGCTAACATTAGGTCTTCGAGCTCTTTAAATTCGTCGAGTTATTCCGCACATGCGCGTTTTGTCCGCCAAAAACACACCGCAACATGATATTGGAAAATGTCTTGAAATGCACATATCACAGTCTTTTTACGTAACGATAATATTTTTAACAATATTTAGAATTTAATAGTAATATTGTGAATTGATTTATGTAAGAAAAAACCTTTTCGTTAGTACTAAAAATGACCACAACGCGAGTGATGCAAAGTCGGTCGAATTGGGCGGCGGCCGCTTGCGTACTGTTTCTCAGTCAAGGCCATTATAAACATGACGTACTTAGTTCTATGGTGAACTGAGGAAGTGCAAAATAAATATGCATAAAACGCGTTACCAAGTTTTAAACGAATTTCAGTACAATCAATACACATTATGTACAACTAAAATATCTATATCCATACTAGTGTTATAAAGAGAAAAGATTTGTGCTTTTGGATTTTTGTATGTATTGAAATAACTCAAAAACTACTTTGCCGATTTCAACAATTCTTTCACCTATTATAAGCTACGTTAATGCCGAGTAACGTAAGCTTTCTTTTTTGTCACTTTTTAAATTACTCGCGGACGAAGTCGCGAGCAACGGCTATTAAAATATGAAGATAAACAAATAATACACATTAGATTTTTTCATTTCCAAACATTATGTTTCACTTTGTCTTTAATTTTTACGCCCTTTCAAGTTAACAAATTTACACACAAAATACATCAAACTTAACAAAAATGTTTACATCATTGGTACTTTTGCAACACTTCCGAATCTTGAGACGTTAGTTAAATATGTAACAGCCGAAAGCTTAAACTCCAATTACTTACAAATTTTGTAATCTATCAGTGGAATCGGCGCTTACGATACGAAGTATTTAGATCCGTTTCAATAATTGGCCGTAAGTCAAAAATAATTTATAGTACTAGCGTAAATTACAATGCATGTCTTGCGTGTTTCTATACTTTGGTGTGGTTTCACTGTCGTATCTGTTACGATATTACCTTCCCCTATCTACTATAAAAAATTTCATCAGGATTTTTCTACAAATTTTACTATAGTAAAATTTACCTTCAGAAGTTTATTCTTAACGTGAAGAGTTCTTCACATTGCGGAAATCTAATTACTGTTCTTTCTATTTTTCTGCCTACGCCATAATGGAAAGTTTTCAGATAATTGTTATCAATATACAAAGCAATCCAAATTGCGATAAACAAACAGGAAATCGTAGTGCACTTAAATAGTTCTGATTAGAATTGTATTTAGATATATTTAAAACAACAGTGGCTCAGGGGCTAAGCACTATAATCTGCAAGTCCTGGTTTCGAAGCCCGTTATATTTTTTCAGTTTTCGAATTTCATTTGTGTAATTCACCTGATTTTCTAACGGTAAAGAAAAATATCATCAAGCAACCTGCTTATCTTTGAATTTCTTTGTAGTTATAAATTCATTATGGACATAAATAACCTAGGACCTAATTTATAAACTGCAGCTACGAAATTTCATTTTGCTTCGTTCATATTTCTCTGACATTGTTTAGATCCATACGACCTATATTTTGTTTTTGCTTACGATTACAGGAACTAAAAACTTACGAGTATATAAATAAAAAAAAAATATTTCTATTTTCTTACTAAAAAATCTTAATATTACTTATTTAATAATTATAAAAAATATCACAAGTTGCATCGCTGTTTGTAATCAGGATTCCACCAAGCCCTAAACTCGTTGTAAACAGTATGTTGTTGCATTATACTTTCATTATTAAGGAGTTCGCACACTGCACACACACTGTCCGTGTCCGATGGGTCACGGTATGTATAATAAGATTTCCATCTGAAATATTTTCTATATTCTTCCGGTGAACGCATCAACCGATCTACGGTACTGGCTATATCTTCAGGCGTCATCAATCTCGCATCCAGATATGTGTCCGGAGGTAGAAACCTGTTACAATTATAAAAATTAAATTAGAGCGCACCTTAGACTAAACTATCGCACAACTGTTTAGTCGCTCTTTAATTCCTATAAACTTATTTGGAGGTGCGCTTGTGCGTATTGTTACTCGATTTATAGTTGTGCAAATAAACAGTTGAATGGGATGCGAAACAATTGACAATCGCACAACAGTTGTGCCATAGTTTAGAAGATGTGCTCAACAGTGGTAGTGCCCGCTTTAACATCTTCGCACGAATGGGCCGGCTCGCCCGGTGTAATACCACGACCACACAGAAAACAGGCGTGAAGTGGAAGCAATTCCGCGTTTCGTCTGATGAGTGTGGTGCCGGAGGCCTAACTTTAGTCCTTTTTCCTTTCCACCCTTTTCTTAAGGGGAAAGGATGGGAGGGAAAAGTGGATTTGACGGTGGAGGAGACGCATAGGAAGGGGAAATGTCCTCTTTATGTGCGTCTCCTCCTCCGTCAATTAGGGTAGGCAACGCATCTGCAATTGCGGATGTTTATGGGCAGCGGTCGCTTTCCATTTCGGTGGATTTAGGTGGCCGCTTGCTCGTTTGTCACCTCGTATGATAAAAAAAAAAATGTGCCCGCCCTGAATAATACTAATGATTTTTTAAACACTACGGAGAATAGTACAAATAAAATGACACCTCCCTTGTCAACATCGAAGACTAGTATAAATTACTAAACCAATTTTGACTCTAGGCTGTCAAAACTGAACTTACACCCGCATCCGTTGTTAAGTTGAATAGAATTCGATTTAGTAGAAGTGCTTGATGGCACTAATATGTGAGTCACCACAGCCGAAATTAAAAATTTCATGAATGGACATATTTAGTCAATAAACATGAATATCATGTACCTTGAATAATTACCGCCACCAAATACAATCGGTACAGCGTTATGATGCAAAGGTGTAAGCACCTTTTCAGTCACATAATCTTCAGCGAAGGAATTCTCAAAGGACAAATAAAAGAAATAATCTTTCTCCAACATTTCATTGCATCTTTTCTTCTCATTTCTAGGACATTGAAACGGTCCACATTTGCCATATATATCTACTGCTAAGCCATATTTTTCTAAAGCCTCTTGTAATTTCTTTCCTAATTCTTTTCTTCCATTTCGGCTGTTGCAATTTGAGACAAACCACGCGGCTGCTTTGCTCTTATTGTTTAACATCGACAAATCTTCATCAATAGTCATATTTTCTGCCCATTTCATGTCTATTCTAGGACCAACAACTTCTCCGTTACGATCCCTTATTTGTATATAAGAGAATTGGATGTCGGAATTCAATTTATACGTAGCTGTCAAATTGAAAAAACCGTCAAACACTGGATTGCACAATGGATAATTGTCAGAAGACTCCATGTTAAAATATATGTATTTCTGATGAGGCGATCTGTTTCTGGGAAGATCAGATTCTTTCGCGTTCAGTATATTTCGACCGTTAAATGCTATGACATCAAACTTTGTCAAGTCTCCGTTGAAAAAATCTCGATCATCAGTAACGAAACAGTTTACGTATGAACAATTGTTTTTGATGAAGGAAAGTTTGCCTTGTCTAAGTTGTCTAAGAGGTTCGTAGTCTTTCGGCGTCCATTCCAAAATGTACTTAATTTCATTTGATATTTTCTGCTTTCTTTTGTATACCTCAGTATATCTGTAATCAAGTCCAACATTCCTGATTGCCTCTTCTTGGAGTACGGTGATGGTTTTGTATTCATTAGTTTTGATAAAATGTGTAATGAATATGGATAATATGAAACTCATTGAGGTGATCCATAGAAAAAACTTTAAAGAAGTTGCATGGAACACTATAGAAGATAATCGGTAGCACATTGATTTACAGAAAGACGTGTCAATTATACTGTAGTCCTGGAATGCTTTGACTTGTCGGCTGTGACGGACATTGTTGTGAAAAGGTGGATCATTCCCTGAAAACAAGAAATAAATTATAAAATAAGTATTAAAGCGTAATTACATTTTGTAATTCTTAATATATAGTAACTATCAAATTTACTTAACAACTAGGTTTCGCCCGCGACTCCGTCCGCGTGGAATTAAAAAAAGAAAATTCCTTCAGACTTTGTTCCTAGAAACAAGATCCTACAAACATCCATCCATACAAACTTTCGCATTTACAATATTAGTAAGAGGAAGAAATCTTAGTATCCGTCTGTATTGTAACATCACATTAGCAATTAGTGAATTCTTTTAGTTTTTAATAAACAACATAGAAATCGATTCTTAGTTATCTATGTGGGTCTGTGGATTATGTTTTAATTGGATTTAAACTTATATTTTACAATTTTTTGGTCTCTAGGGAGCAGCTATCCCTACTCCACGCACTTAATGTGCCCGTAGCATTTTCTAATTTCTTTACTAACGGTTAGTAACAACTAATATATGTACCTTACTTTCATTCAGAAATCAAATTTAATTCGCGAGACAAAAACTATAACTAATTTAAAATACACAATGGCTTAATATATACATCTTCTTTGATCAAAACCTAAAATAATTCACCGTAACTATGGCCGTGACATAAATCTTCTAAAATCACCAAACATAGACAACAAGAAACAACTATTTTTATTTATTTAAAAAAAAACAATAAGGTTGACACGACAATGAAAAATACTTGACAATTGAGGTCGACCGCGCTGATGAATTAACAAACGGCACTAAACGTTTTCCGTAGCAAATAAACATTAAAGTTAAATTTCCACTGCAGATATTCATTTTCAGAAACATATCGTTGTCCCTCTCATCCCTTTGTGGGAATAGGGACAGCAATAGACATGTTTAAGTTGATAATGTTATGTAAACTAGCTGTCATCGCGTGAAACAGCAAACAGATAAAAAACTTGTCTTAAAAAGAAATTAACAGAAGGACAGTAATAATTACCCGGGTTCTTTGTACGATTGTTATCTAATTTCTTACTAATAATCTATACTATTATAATAAAGCGTAAACACACACATCTTTGTTGCCTAAGATGTCAGCAATCACAGCATATTTTTGAATAATTATTTTTTTTAATAAAAAGCCCTACACTTACGTCACGCTTTAGGCTATATATTTTCACGCCATTAAACTTAGGGGGTAAATACTTTGGATAAAAACCCTAATGTGGGAAAGAGACCATAAGTTGCTGCCAACATCAAGGAAGGAAGGTTGCCATGGTTTGTAATTGTCATGTCATTTTGACATTTGCAAATGATAATTTGACAAACAATAAAATAAAATTTTCATAATTTAATGCGGATGAAGTCGCAAGGGAACAGCTAGTTGTATATACGAAACATTAGAAAACCAATAAAGTTATTTTAATAACTTCATTCAATTAAAAATTCGCATAACCTTATCTGGATCAAGATTCGTGATAAAAATGATATCATTCACAAGTCTAGACTGTTGATTATTTTACAAGATTTTAGGATAACAGTTTTCGGAGAAATTAAAACTATTTTATTTGAATAGACGAATTTATGTTATGTAGAACTGAAAAGTGGTCTTATCTTCAATTAGAGAGAATTGAGTTTTTAATAAAATTGACAATTAAAAAAGTTATAGAATCAAATTGAATTATGAATGTTGACTCCACTAGAATTCCTTATAAATAATGGATAGATAGCGCAAGTGACGACATTACCCATTAATTCGATATTGTCCAGAGTGAGTAAAACTAATTTAAAAAAATCTACTAAACCAGTTTAGAAATACGTGAGATTTTGATTTTAGTGTGTTGGTAACATTTTTTCGCTACAAAAATCTCCGTCGAATTAAGGGCTAAGAATACACTGACTGAGATGACAGGAAATAAATCGATCTATAGGCCTAGAACATACTGCTCCGAATATACATAAATTATGGACGAGGAGATCATCATTAGTGCCGGAGGCCTAGTTTTAGTTTTTTTTCCTTTCCGGCCTTTTCTTAAGAGAAAAAAAAATGGGAAGGAAAAGTGGATATGACGGCGGAGACGCATAGGAAGGGAAAATATCCTCTTTACGTGAGTCTAATCCTCCGTCGATTAAAGGTAGGCAACGCATCTGCAATTGTTTAAGTCTATGGGTAGCGGTCACTTTACCACGCAGATTCAAGTAGCCGTTAGCTCGTTTGCAACCTTATAATAATAAAAAACGCGAAGTTGGCTATGTACTTTAAGACAGTTATAGTTTTACCAAAAAAAGCGTATCGACCTACTATTCATGGTCTAATTATTGATTACGGAATACTACGGGCACACCTATTTTATCCGTATCTATTAATTTATACCTATTATGTGCGTTATTGTCGGCGATTATAACATTTCGTTAAAAATAATTTTAATTCATAATTACAAACACCCTAAATTAAAAAAAAATGCGTGCTTTTGTTTTAATTGTAATCTTTTACAGCAAGCAAAATGGCTATCATACTAATCAGACTTCATACTAATGTTATAAAAGCGAAAGTTTAGATAGATGGATATTTGTTAGAATTTGAATCCTAAAGCTCTAAACGGGTTTCGATGAAATTTGCTACAGATATAGAGGATAGTATGGTATGGAACACTCTCTTTTTTTTAATTCCATGCGGACGGAGTAGCGGGCTAAAGCTAGTAATTTATTTAAATCAACCACAACAAAAACTTTCAATTGGTTAAAAAATTGTTTATCATAACTGAGATAACATTTTTAAGTCTCAGTTACAGCTTAGTCCACG